GTAGAATGAATTTATACTCACTCATGGTGGAAAGTTATTCTTCGTGTCATTTCGTTGGGACCAGTGATTGTACGGCTAGCCATGTCTCAGACCCAAGCGTCAAGTTACAAATAACGCAGTGCTGGGGTGGGGGTCAGTGACCATTCCTACCCTTCCCCAACAGTGGGCTTGGGAGAATTTGCATTAATAAAATGTTTAAACCACGAGGAGAACGAACGGCAAAACGATTCCGCGAGAGGTCAAATTTTTTTTTTTTTTATCGAGCAAAAGACATAGCCACAGGGCCAAAGAATACTGAAGACATGTTAACGCGGGGTGAAGGGACATTTTTTCCCTTTTTTCCAGAGGTAGGGGAGGGGACGATTTCCAACTACACAAACAAGTTATCAGTTAGGTTAGAACAAGTATTAATGTTAAATTAGTCGGAGTGATCAAGCAACAATAGCTGAATAGAATAAATACGTAAAATATGAATATATATATATATATATATATATATATATATATATATATATATATATAGAGAGAGAGAGAGAGAGAGAGAGAGCGAGAGATATGCCATCGGATGCGTCTTTGGTAGAATGAATTTATACTCACTCATGGTGGAAAGTTATTCTTCGTGTCATTTCGTTGGGACCAGTGATTGTACGGCTAGCCATGTCTCAGACCCAAGCGTCAAGTTACAAATAACGCAGTGCTGGAGGGGGGGGGTCAGTGACCATTCCTACCCTTCCCCAACAGTGGGCTTGGGCTTCACATAGAAGTGACAATAGTCCTCGTAGTTTATTTATTTCGGTTTCTATTATTTTTTTCAGACCGGCATTTTTCTCTTTCGTTTAAGCTGTGTTTTTTTTTTTTTTTTTTTTTTTCATTTTCACCTATTGTGTTTCTGTGATCGTTGCCAAGGCCGCATATATAAGATGATTATTTTCTGTTAGGTTCGTCGGTCTTTTCATTCTGTACCTTATTTTCCTAATTGTTTGGTTAGCGACGTTGATGATTTCCTTCACTTGACTGTTTTTCTTACTTCTGGAATTGTTGGCCTTTCCTTGAAAGGCATTTCTTTTTACATTTTCCCATTTATCTTAGATATGTTTTTAGCATCTCTGTTTCCCTCTCACATTCGTCATTATTTTCAGCTAGTTCCTATTTGTTCCTCTGCATGTGTCTCCTCTAGGTTGTTGGTATTTAGCTCCTCGATGTCAATGTTTAATCTATTTTGATGCTTTCTCGGATGTTTTCGTGGTATATGTCAGTTATTCTCTTTTCCTGATGATGTCAGGCCTGATGCTGGATGTTGGATCGATGTTTAGCCTGTTTTGAGAGGTGTTTTTTCTCGCTAGAAATTATAAGCGGCTTTTATCGTTGTCGTCTTTGTCGGATTTATCGTATTAATGTAAAATGCTATCATTACTTCTATATACTCTTCCCTAGCCCATTTATTTCTTGTTCTTTTTGTGGAATTATCTTTTATTAAATATAGAGGACCAAGTAGTTTATTTATTTCAGTTTCTATTTTTTTTTTTTTTTTTTTGCAGACCGACATTATTCTTTTTCGTTTAAGCTGTGTTATTTTTATTTTTTCACCTATTGTTTCTGTGATTGTTGCCGAGGCTGCGTATATAAGATGATTAATTTATTTTAGGTTCATCCTTCTTTTCATTTTAGTCTCTGATTTTTCTAATTCTTTGGTTAGCGAGGTTAATGGCTTCCTTCCCTTGGCCGTTCTTTCTTACTTCTGAAATTGCCGACATTTTGTCGAAAGACATTTCCTTTACATTCTACCATTAATCACGGATGTATTTTGTCATCTCCCTTTCTCTCAATATTCTTCATTATCTTCTTCTATTTGGTGTTATGGTCCGATTCCTTGTACCACGGTGATAGTCCAAGGTAGAACCAATAAAGAAGAACTCGAACACGGATATGGAATAACACAGATATATTACAAACAGGAATATATACAGAGAAGTAGAAAGTGTTAGTACAAACAACCAGGTTTAGTAGTAATTGTCTGAACGCGACTCTGTTTCGGACTGCCTCTGACTCAACTGACTGACTCTGCTCGCTCTGACTGACTGACCGACGAACTTTTGACGGACCTCACTCCAGACTGAACTCCCTGCTTCCTCTTGAGGCGCAGTATTTATTACGTATGGAATAGTCCATTGTGTTATTATGGGTAAGGTCCCATAAAATTTGCTTGTGTCTCTCAGAGGGATTATTACAATTGGTTTCTATTTGTTCCTCTGCATGCGTCTCCTCTGTACTCTTGGCATTTAGCTCCTCGATGTTAACGTTTAATCTATTTTTGATATTTTCTTGGATGCTTTCGAGTCCTATGTCAGGTATTCTTTTTTTCCCCTGATGAAATCACGCCTGACATTGGCTAGTTTGTTGACATGGACGCTTATTCTATTTGAGAGTTACTTTTCTCGCCCGATATTATCGGAGTCTTTGGATGTCGTCGTTGTCGGATTCATCGTATCAATGTAAAATGCTATCATTACTTCAATAAACTCTTCCCTAAACCATTAACGTATTGTTCTTTTTGTGGGATTTTCTTTTAATGAATATAGAGGACCTCTGTGAGGACTGCTCTTGGCGTGGTTTTCCTCTAGTTTTCATTGGGTAGATTTTGCTCCAGCTGTAGACATTTCGATCCTAGTCAAATTCCTCACTGGAGACTGCGGTCCTTGTTGAGGGTTACCAATATTTGTCGTTGTGTCAGCATTATAGTTAGTTCGTATTTACCCATACGTGAGGGCTAGCATGTGGGCGCCAGATCATATCCATACCATCATGGTGGGCAATCACGTTCAAGGGGCCAGGCCTCCTCCTGCTATTTATTTATTTGCTATTGATATTATTTAAAAAAAACGGTAAAACCTTCATTTGGATCGCAAGGAGACACGACTTGCTTCACGAGACTCCAACATAACTTCAATTTTCAACGGAATTATTATCTGTCTATATTTCTGAGATGATGTATTGTGTACACTATTTATATTATTCGGACTATTGTCCTCATCTTTGTCGTCATATTTATTACAACTTTTCGGCCTTTCAGTATCTGTCTATATTTCTGAGATGAGGTATTATCTACACTATTAACATTATTCGGACTATTGCCCTCATCTTTGTCGCCGTATTTATTACAACGTTTCGGGTGTTTGGAATGTCGAACTGAACCCTTTATTTCGATCACTGGGGTAGACTGTTCTAGTTCCACGTGCCATGTTTAATGGGTGTCAGCTATAAGCTATCTCCTGTTAGTTCCCCTCTTCAAGTTCTCCAGTGCCTTAACCAGGTATTGAACTCACACTCTTTGTGTCCTGTCACTGGATCTAGCTAACGCCTTTATCCACTGAGCCATGCGTCCTCAAGGAACCACCTGAAGAAGGCTGGAGTGTACAACGGCCGAAATGTAATAAATTTAGTGACAAAGATAAAGACAATAGTCTGAATAATGTAAATAGTAGAATTATTATTATTAGTAGTAGTAGTAGTAGTAGTAATATTAGTAGTAGTAGTAGTAGTAGTATAGGACGCTAATATATTGTATTTGGAACATAATTCTTAATGTCGTCAATGCAAAGAAGATAGTTTTTTAAGATGGCGTTGCGTGCTCAAGCTTCATCGGAGGACATTGTTGTGCTATTTGATTTAGTGGTCGAAGTGTTTATCGACCAAGGCTACTGTGATTAATAAAAAGGTATTCATAATATGATGAAATAAAACACACAATAAAATAATAATAATGAAAACCTTTCATGTTGAATAAAAAAAAAAAATAAAACAACGTAATATTTAATTATAAATTGCAATTTTCCAAACAGGGCATCAGTTATCTGCATTTTTTTTTTCCAAGCAAAATAAATATAACTTATTTCTCCCGGGACTTAATTTTTTTTTAAATTTCCAAAATTGTTGTCTGCAACGGGATAATTAACTGTTGATTTTATAAAATTAATTAAGAATCGTATGTACAAGAGTGACATCATGTGCGTTTAAATTTATCTGCAAGCAAATCTTTTTTTATATATATAAATTTAATCAATACCTAGAAAGGTTTTAACAAAATTCAATAATTAGTTGATAGCCAATATATTTTTTTTTTTAAATTTACGTTATCCAGCGCTGTTTTTTTTTTTTTTTTTTAATTTTTTTATTATAATTGGCTTCCACGTTGTCAACTAAAATATCAAGCCCTTTCAATAATAAATACCCACCTCTGCGTATCGAACACAAATAATTATATCTGAATGTTCCCCAATATTTCTTTCTTCTGCTAAAAATCGAATAAATTTCTTTTATATATATAGTTATATTTATGGATACAGTGATATGTCATTAAAAAAAAACAAAACAAAAAAAAAAAAACAGGCGTGTTTTGAACGTTCTGCCAAAGAGGTCACCAGCAAAGCAAATAGAGACAGATAAATAATAATAATTAAAAAAAATAGGACAGTAGGGAAAGAAATAAACCGTCATATCAGATTTGAATAGCTATAGAGATCGAACAGACAGGCAGGCATAAAGATATATATAGAGATAGACACAGAGAGACCAGACGCGAATAGAGAGACAAATAGATAAATCTCACGCGATTAGAAATATAAATAGATAGACAAACCAAACGGGAATAGAAATATAGATAGATAGACAAACTAGTCGTGAATAGAGATAGAGATAGACAGATAGACAAACCAGACGAGAATAGAGATATTGATAGACAGAAAAAGCCAGATGCAAATAGATAGATAGATAGATAGATAGATAGATAGATAGATAGATAAACCAGACGCAAATAGATAGATAGATAGATAGATAGATATAGGTTTAAATATAGATATAGAGATATAGATAGACAGATAGACAAACCCGACACGAATAGATAGATAGATAGATAGATAGATAGATAAAACAGACGCAAATAGAGATATAGATAGACAGATAGACAAACCCGACACAAATAGATAGATAGATAGATAGATAGATTAATCAGACGCGAATAGAGATATCGATAGACAGATAGATAAACCCGATACGAATAGATAGATAGATAGATAGATAGATAGATAGATAGATAGATAAAACAGACGCGAATAAAGATATTGATAGACAGATAGCATAATCAAACGCGAATATAGATATAGACGCAAACAAAACGCATATCCAGATATCGATAAACAGATAGACTGATCAGAGGCAAATCGATGCATAGATAGATGTGACCCGAAAGAGACCTGAACAGAGATCGATAGACGTAGACAAATTATATTTTGCAGCTTATAAGACGAATTTTTTCCGTATAAAATATCTCCAAATACCGCTGTGCATCCTATAAATCGAAGGTCATTCACGGGAATTATGTTTGGTGTGTGCGGTGGCCATCAGACCCCTAGTTAGATGCAATTCTGACGCCTTCAAAATAAAACAAGTCCGCATTATTTACATTATTCGGACTATTGTCCTCATCTTTGTCACCATCTTTATTACAACGTTGTACGCTCCGGCCTTCTTCAAGTGGTTGGAATGTCGAACTAAACCCTTTATTTCGCTCACTGGGGCCCTCAGGGAGACTTGACACAGTGGATAAAGGCGTTGGTTAGATCCAGTGACAGGACCCAAAGAGTGTGAGTTCATTACCCGGTTAAGGCAGTGGAGAACTTTCAGAGGGATATTAACAGGAGATAACTGATAACTGACATCCATTAAACATGGCACGTGGAAGTAGAACAGTCTACCCATAATCGAGATCATTAACGATTCCTGTCGGAGGACGAATACTTTCTATGAGAATTTCTCGGACATTCAGGCCGATAAATGTTGTTTAATACTGTTTATTATAAAACAAAGCATTTACTTAAATATTTGTATCTATAAAACGAATGTATAAACATAAAATGTCTTAAAATAATTGTCGGACTTTGTCCATTTTTATTATATATATATATATATATATATATATATATATATATATATATATAGGGTGTCTCAAAATTTGACATCATTTTAAAAGCAATTATCTTGAAAACAGCTAAATCTAGCTCAATGAAATTGAACAGTTTAAGTTTATTATGAGACTGATTTCATAGGTGTTCAATATGTCCACCATCTGTGACATGGCACACGTTAAGTCGGTAGTTAAGCTCTTGCCAAACACGCTGTAGCATGTCTCCAGTAGCATCATCCAGTGCGGAAGTGATTCTCTGCTTGAGTTCATCAATGCTAGCAGGAAGAGGGAGGACATAGACCAGTCCCTTTAAATATTCCCATAAAAAAAACACATGGGGACAGGTCCGGTGACCGCGGCAGCCATTTCATCAGAAAACTATCTTCATGTCCACTACGCGCGATCCATCTCTCTGGTAGATTCTCATCAAGATAAGCACATACTGTCCTCTTCCATTAAATATAAAAATTGGGGGTTATTTCAACAAGAACTGCGAAAAGTATTGGCCTGCGATATTATGTCAAATTTTGGAACGCCCTATACATATATATATATATATATATATATATATATATATATATATATATATATATATATACACACACACACACACACACACACACATATATATATATATATATATATATATATATATATATATATATATATATAAACAAATGGAAAACTTATCCGACGCCTTATTTATAGGCAACAAAAATGTTATTGTTTTTTTTTAATTTTTATATTTTATATTTTCATAAAAATTCATCAGATTAGCCGAAAAGTCTAGGCAAGCTATGGAGGAAAAGTGACACAATTCAATGCGTAATTAACGAATGTGAGTCAGTTATTTTCTTGAATTTTTCTAAATGCAAATAAGTATTTAAATTATTTTAGTTTCGGATTAATTTTATGTGTTATATGTTTTAAGTAACATGAAGTTATCAATTGAATCGTTTCTTTTCATTTTTAACATTCTTATAGTTATGTGTCTTATTTCTGAGATGAGGTATTATGTACATTATTTACATTATTCGGACTATTGTCCTCATCCTTGTTGCCATATGTATGTTGGTTTGGGAAAGGCGTAATTCTTTCAAGAGTGGTGTTATTAAAAAAAAATCGGGTTTAGATTTATATTTTGATAAGATTCGAATAGCGGTACCCTCGAGAATTTTCTTTAGATCAAAGTTATGGTTGAATGTATTTCTATGTATAACTAATGTATTTGATAAATTATTGTGTATAATATCCCTTTTGTGTTCATAGATTAGTTTTGTTTTGTTTTTTTTTGTTTTTTTAGTTTGTTTTTTTTTTGTTGTTTTCTACAAGTTTCCCCAATGTACTGTAAGGAAGAGTTCTGGCAATTCATTTTATAAAATTTTGCTTTAAAACTATTATTGCTATGAGTATTTTTGGTTCTGATCATATCCATAATAGTTTTGGACCTGTTTGCAATTATTTCAATCTTATGCAGATTGGATAATTTGTTTTAGATTGTGGATGCTACGGAGATACTTTGTAGTATCATGTCTATTTTTGTCTAGTTTATTGTCATTGTTATAGTTGTTAATAATGTTATCTTTTTTGCGGCTCTATATTTTGTATGCTTTTCTCTTAGCATTGAGGGTGAAATAATAAGCATATTTGAGGATATTCAATGGGATTTTTATGTCTATTTCTTCCTTGGGTAAGTATTGGGGGCTGCATATTTTTAGTGATCTTAAACTTCAAGTGGACCTCGTATATACGATACATTGCTAAAGAGGCAGGTAAAAAATGATCTCCACCCAAGATCACTACCATCTTAAACTGTTCAAAGCTAGGGTTTGCCGTTATCTTCCACTCCTATACGCACAAATTGCTAACTAACGTATCCCTCTGCTTGGAGTAGCCCCCGGGCCTTTTAAAGGGCGAACCTTGCTGCAAAAAGAAATATTTAAAAAATAGAATCATAAAATTATTCCAGATTTTATATTGTTACAGTGATGAGATTAAAAATTTAAAAGGTCATTCTTCTTAGTAGATTTTATGTAAACATCAAACTGGAGTTCGTTATTATTTTTATGCAGCATGATTTTATGGGTAAAAGTGTTTAATGGTAAAGTATACTGCTAGTTCGATGTTATAAAATTTGTTGACAAAGTCGTGTACATATATATATATATATATATATATAGAGAGAGAGAATCATCATCTTTCTTTTTTTATGTACCATGTCCTTTCAGGACATAGGCGATCATGGCTCTCCACCTCCTTCTATCCCTTGTAGCTCTCAGCAAGTTCCTTCCCTCTGCTCCCCCCAGACCACGTTCTGTCATCAAGCTCTTCAGATATGTCGCGTGCTGTTTTCCCTTTACCCCCTTTATCTCTATTCGACCCGTGAGTATCAGATTCTCCAGGCCCTCCTTCCTCATTATGTGTCCCAGAAACGTCGGCTGCCTCTTCCTGATGTTAAGTATAAACCTCCACCTTGTTTACACCGTCTCTAAGATATCATCGTTGCTCACACGCTGGGTTCATGATATCCTTAGCATCCTTCTGTAGAACCATACCTCCGTTGCCTCGAGAATCATCTATGTATTTGAAGAATTTGGCGGGTAAGATATTTTTGAAAAGGATTATTTTCCAGATATTCCCAAAATAGACAAACCAAATCTTCAGCAAGAGGTAAACTAATTGAGACGCTCATGAATATTCATCAGGTTAACTGAAATGTCTAGGTAAATTTTTGAGGATGGTAATTGGTTAATTCGTTTATATATACATATATATATATATATATATATATATATATATATATATATGAAAAGTACCATTATATATATATATATATATATATATATATATATATATATATATATATATATATATATATATATATATATATCGAGAGAGAGATGCGCACTTTAATTATATCATATATACCGTCTCATGTGGATAATGATATTTTATTTAATGTAAGCTGTTTATTTTGTATGATTATAGCTTCTAGGGTTTTCATCACAATTTCGAGCACAATACTAAACACCTTATTGGAAAAATACAAAAAATTAAACACACCTTGTGTATTCCTTTTAATCAAACTCTCTCTCTCTCTCTCACTCACTCACTCTCTCTCTCTCTCTCTCTCTTTCTATATATATATATAAATATATATATATATATATATATATATATATATATATATATATATATATATGGGTTTGCGTGGGTTTGCGTGAGCGTATGCATACACATTTTCAGATATGACTAAAATATATCTGCAAAAAGACAATATGAACATAGATAAAAGGCAAATATATATTATCCGCCCCGTTTCGTCCTCTCACTTTATAAGGGCAAATGTGAAGATTTTATTTTGCAACATGTATTTATACACAAAATTAAAAACGTTGTTAATCTTTGAAAATTTTTAAATTCATGAGTCGCTCATAAATATTAATCAGGTTAACTTAAAATTCTAGATAAATAATGGAGGATGCCAAGCGACGTAATTTAATGCCAAATAAAAGAAAGTGAGTAAATCAGGTTGAATCTTTTTAGGTAATTAATACTTAAATTAATTTATGTACATCTCTTAAATTTAAAAAAAAAAAAAACCCTGAAAAGCTGACAACATTTTTACTTTTGCTTATAAGTACTTGCCTCAAAATGAAATCCTCACCTTTGACTTAGTAATCTATCTATATTGTAATTTTACAAATACATTCTAGTTGCATATTAAATTTTTACACACACACACACACGCACGCACGAGCGTGCACACACACACAAACAAATATATGTGTGTGTGTGTGTGTGTATGATATATATATATATATATATATATATATATATATATATATATATATATATATATATATTTTCTGTAGTTCACTGCTACCAGCAAGCAGAAAACTATTTTTCTCCTGATGATGGCCATGTTGGCCGAAACTAGTCTAGGAATCTAAATGGAATAATAATAATAAAACGAAGGAATATCAATATACAACCCAATTTTAATTTTTTGAAGATTTTAATATTTTAATAATTTTATTCTTCAATATATATATATATATATATATATATATATATATATAAATATAATGTAGTGGTAACCCGGATATAAGAGAGTTGTCGGGACCGGGAAGAAGTCTCTTATATCCGGGTTTCTCTTATATCAGGTTTGGTCTATTTTATATACATTAACACAGGCTCTAATTTGGGACCAGAGAAAATCTCTCTTATATCCGGGTTTCTCTTATATCTGGGTCTCTTATATCCGGGTTACACTATATATATATATATATATATATATATATATATATATATATCCCCATTCGAAATGAAATACCAATATCAAATAGAGAAGCCACCATTTCTCTCCGGCCGACAGAGCGCCTGACTAACCATAAGTGTCGTCTCTCGCAGTCGACCGTGACAATGACTAGACATTGCTAATAAGGCTTTTTATTCAACCGGGCGATCGTAAAAAGCCGGCAAAAGGATTTAATAGCTTTTCAGCGGTGTGGGGAGGCAAACGACACGAGTGAGAAACGGAAGTGAAGGATTTACGACCCTTTTTGCCAAACCCGGTTCACTGCCCACTGGGTAAAATGGTAGGAAGGCGTGAGACTGTGGGGACCCGTCGTTTTTCCACCTCTGACAGTTACGTTCTTTAATGGACTAAGCTTCGCTTTGAAGGCGATGGACGGGTTGAAGCTACCAGTGTCTACTAAAGTGTTTTGTATCACTGGAGGTTAACTAATTTATTATTCACTCTTCTTTGATGTGTGTCGGTCTCATTAGGTCCAAACCTCTTTCCATTCGGCTTGGTTGGTAATATTTTTTTCAGGTTTATACGTAGATGTAATGTAATCTGTTTGAAGATTGATAACTAGATAGATCTGAAAGGATTAGATATATATATATATATATAGAGAGAGAGATAGATAGATAGATAGATAGATAGATAGATAGATAGATAGATAGATAGATAGATACGTATTAATATAACTAAAAAGAGATTGAGATTAGAAAAGAGATCGCTATTAAGATATATATTAATATAGGTCTGAACAAATTAAGATAGATACTGAAAGGAAATAGATAGATAGATAGATAGATAGATAGATAGATAGATAGATAGATAGATAGATAGATAGATAGATTAATGGTTAAAATAAAGAAATAATTACTTGTTGATTTAAAAAGAATATTAAGTTTAAATGAAATATTAAATAGATATATAAATAGATAGATAAAGAGATAATAGGCTGAGATAGATAGATAGATAGATAGATAGATAGATAGATAGATACGTATTAATATAACTAAAAAGAGATTGGGTTAGATAAGTAGATAGAAAACGTATTGAGATCGGCATTAATTTACATATGAAAATATTAAAATTGGTATTAATATCGGTATGAACAGATTTACATCGCTATTAAGATATATATTAATATAGGTCTGAACAAATTAAGATAGATAGATAGATAGATAGATAGATAGATAGATAGATAGATATGAACAGATTAAGATAGATAGATAGATAGATAGATAGATAGATAGATAGATAGATAGATATGAACAGATTAAGATAGATAGATAGATAGATAGATAGATAGATAGATAGATAGATATGAACAGGTTGAGATAGATATGAACAGGTTGAGATAGATATGAACAGATTGAGATAGATAGATAGATAGATAGATAGATAGATAGATAGATAGATAGATAGATGAACTAGAAGAGAATGCATTGATATAGATAAAGTCGTACGAAATTACCTATGTATGTATTGATTCCGCCACATGTCTCACACCCACCCTACCCCGCACATTGTAGCGAACCACCTTCATTCCCTTCATATCCTCCTGGTGAGACGTAAGTTCCAGTTAAGCATCTTCTCGCGAACTGCTGCCTTGTGGAACCGACTCGCAAGATGCCCCTACCCCGATCACTACAATCTTAACCTGTTCATGTCTAGAGTTGACCTTTAACCTCCGCACATATCCGCATAAGCTGTACTTCTTATTCTGTAACCCTCTACCTCAAGTGGCTCTCGGGCCTTGCACAGGATGAACACCACTTTAAAAAAAAAAGAAAAAATATATCTATGTCGAGTATGCTGGTTATACTGAGTACAGGAAATTGTGTCGGACACAAGGCAGAAACATTTGGTAAATTTAGTCAGAATTCGATTAAAACCATTTTTTCAGTTGATCATTATCGACGTGTGTAACAATTATGGTGAGATTAACCATCTGTATAGAGAAAAATATTCGGCGCTCATTGATCGAATAACCAGTGCTCTTTTCTTCTTATGTGCCATGTCCTTTCAGGACGTAGGCGATCATGGCTCCACACCCCCTCTATCCCTTACAGCTCTCAACAAGTTCCTTCCCTCTGCTTGCTCCCCCAGACCACGCTCTGTCAACCACTTGCTTAAGTCCGCTAGTTATGTCATGCGTTGTTTACCCTTGTCTCTCATTCCCTCTATTCGACCTGTGAGTATCAGATTCTCCAGGCCGTCCTTCCTCATCATGTGTCCCAGAAACTTCAGCTTCCTCTTCCTGGTGTGACGTATAGGCCTCCTCCTTGTTTGTATCTTCTCTAAGATCTCATCGTTACTCACACGCTGGGTCCATGATATCCTTAGCATCCTTCTGTAGAACCACATCTCTTGTTGCCTCGAGTCTCTTCTTCATCTTCGAGGAGACCGTTCAACATTCGCTGCCGTAAAGAATGACAGATGTCACGCATGAGTTCAGTATTCCTTTCTTTGTTACAAAAGAAATCCTCCTACTTTCTTTTAAAGCAATTTTCTGGAAAACAAGTTTTGTATTCTGTGATTCTGTAGCGCCAGATAACTAGGTTTGAAGAAGGGTTTGTCATCGCCAAGATTCACAGGACTCACTCCCTCAAAACGATTTTGTCTTGCAAACTTTTTCAATAAAAATCGTATAAATCATAAAAACTCCTCATCACATAAACCCAGAAAAACAGTTATTTTAATATTCGTCGTTTCCTTATAAGGAAACATTCGACATTCATTGTCCGAACAGCCAGTGCGACTGTCGGTTGAAATTTATAAATTCTTTCTTTTAAAGCAATTTTTCAGGAAAACAAATTTGGTAAGTTCTGGACTTTTATCGTTCTTTCCCGTACTGACGTTGGTGGGGGGGGGGTCCAATGTTTTATTTGAAGTAGTGTGGAATGCCAACATCTTGATTATGCTATTGTTTTCTCTTCGGGTTAAATATGCTACAAATTTTAGCTGTTGCTACTGTTGAAAATTCTCAGGGAATATGATTCCTGTTATCTGGTACAGATCTTTATGATTCTGTAGCGCCAGACCACAAGGTTCGAAGAAGAGTTTGTTTTCGCCAAGATTCACAGGATTCACTCCTTCAAAACCATTTTGTCCTGCAAACATTTTCAATAGAAATCGTGTAAATCATAATAACCCCTCATCACAGAAACTCAGAAAAACAGTTATGTTAATATTAGTAGTGTGGAATGCCAACATCTTGATTATACTATTGTTTTCTCTTCGGGTTAAATATGCTACAAGTTCTAGCTATTGCTAGTGTTGAAAATCCTCCAGGGGATATGATTTGTGTAATGTGGTACATTTCATCTGTTCATTGATCGAATAGCCAGTGTTACTGTCAGTTAAAATTTATAAAATCTTTCTTTTACAGCAATTTTTCAGGAAAACAAATTTTATAAGTTCTGTGACTGTGTAGCGCCAATCCACAAGGTTCGAAAAAGGGTTTCTCTTCGCCAAGATTCACAGGTTTCACTCGCTCAAAAGCCAGTTTTAATGTGGAAAAATAGATATTTATTGTTTAAAGGAATATATATTTTCATCTATTGCTGATTATAGTTACTTTCTTAGAAAAGCACCTCCGTAAAAGATGAGCTCAACTCCGAAATATATGCTTGTTTTGGTAGGAAGCAATAATAATGGTTATGGTGAGATTAGCCGTTTCCATACAGGAAACATTCGGTATTCATTGACCGATCAATTAGCGTTACTGTCTGTTAAAATTTATAAAATCTTTTTCTTAAAACAATTCTTCATGAAATTAGACTTCCAAAGTCCACTAATTGTTATCGCTCTTTCTATCGTCGATGGTAATGGTATGATAATTGTATTAAATAGCCCTTTCCATTCAGGAAACATTTGGCATTCATTGACCGATCAGTTAGCGTTACTGTCGGTTGAAATTTATAAAGATCTTTCTCTGAAAACAGCTTTTCCGAGAGTCCTCAGTCATCGCTCTTTCCATTATTGACGGGCGTTGCCTCTCTAACCTCTTGTTTAAAGTGGTGTCGTCCTGGGTAAGACGATAAACTACATCCAACAGCAAGGCCTCTGATCAGGAGGTTTTGAGGAAGCGTGGAACCACCTCTTAATTGCTGGTGTTCCCAGGTCCACCCTGACCCGGGGTGGTAACACCTGTTATGGTCCCAGCTATGGGCAAATAGTGAACTCCCAGTTTTTCCTATCATATATCCACGTCCTGGTTATGATGATAAACTACGTCCAAAAATAATGTTGCCAGCTATGCGTTTGCGTTTTCTAGTACAATATATATATATATATATATATATATATATATATATATATATATATGAAGAAGAATATATACGGAAAAACAAACAAAAATCCTTATATACAATTATGCTGTTTTAATGTTAATATGTCAACGTCGGAGGTTTCGGTCTAATAAACCATCTTCAGGACATATTCATAAATTAAAAATTATAACATTATCAATACAACATGATAATGTTATAATTTATGAATATGTCCTGAAGATGGTTTATTAGACCGAAACGTCCGACGTTGACATATTAACATTAAAACAGCATAATTGTATATAAGGATTTTTGTTTGTTTTTTCCGTATATATTTTTCATACTGTCGGATCTATATCCATATATTTGCTTATATATATATATATATATATATATATATATATATATATATATATATATATATATATATATATAACTAAATTTGGCATTAAATGACCTACAGTGGTTGATATGCCATAAAACCCAACCAACCAACCAACTTTAAAGTGGTGTGGAATGTCAACATTTTGATCATATCATTATTGTCCCTTTCACATGACGTGTGTTATGCATTTTAGTTGTTACTGCTGTTGGAAGAGTTCAATGATGCGGTTTTTGATATTTATATATATATATATATATATATATATATATATATATATATATATATATATATCCTTTTTTACAGTAATGTTCATCTTGTACATGGCCCGAGGACGACTCGAGGTATCGAGTTATGTTAGGAGGCAGTTTTTTTTGTTTTGTTTTTTTTGGGGGTTTTTACATATGGGAGGGGAAGATAAACGGTTAATCCTAGACTAAAGATTGCAGTAATCGGAGAAACATCCCCTCGGAAGTCGGTTCCACAGGGCAGTCATTCGCAATAAGAAGCTGTTCGAGTGGATTTTACCAACGTATTTATGAGTATTGGGACATACCCACTAGTCTTCATAGGTACGGTATATAACAAGGAGTGAATTGCAGATTATATATAACAGTTGATTCTAGATTTGATGAGGATTTTAGTGATCAGGGAAGCATTCTCTTGGAAATCTGTTCTGCAAAGTAAGTTTTCGGAAAGAAGATGTCTTAGTGAAATTTCCACTTTACCAATGGAATATGAAGAGAATGACAATGATTTCCTTTTTTTAAATCATTTCTTCCCAAGCAAGGCAATAATGACGCTAAGACACAAGGTTTTACTGAGTATGAGAGAATATGAAGAAAAATACTAGTAAAGAGAGAGAGAGAGCGCGACAAAAGAACAATAATTAATAAGACAGGAGATCAGGATTGACATTTCACTGAAATACTTATCCATTTGAATTGTTCAGCTGAACTAAAAAATATGACTGGATTTTTTTTTAGTCCCTCAAGTTATTGGATGTGATTGGTGTATGGACCTGAGGAGGAGTGGGCGGAGGAGGATGTCGTGGTGGTGGTGGAAGAGTGTTGTAACCTAGAAAGGGTCAGTGAATGAGAAATAACCAAAACAGAGGTTGGGAATGAAATGTTAATCTTTATAACATCAACAAAATATAATACTTGCCAGCGGTGTGAAGCAGGTAAACCACTGCCAGTGGTGGACTATTTAGACAGTGTATTACTCCCACTTACAATAGTGTCCAAAGTATTTATGAGGATTGGGAGATACCCAATAGTATTCATAGCTACGGTTAATATCTATCTATCTATCTATCTATCTATCTATCTATCTATCTATCTATCCTATTCTGTTAATGCTGTAAGCTAGAAAAGGGTTACTGAATGAAGGATAACCAAAAAAGAGATTAGAAATGAAATGGTAATCTTTATAACATCAACAAAATAAAATACTCGCCAGCGCCGTGAAGTAGGTAAACCACTGCTAGTGGTGGACTACTTAGACACCATATTACACCCACTTACAATAATGTCCAACTTATTTATGAGGATTGAGAAATACCCAATAATCTTCATAGCTACGGTATATAACAGTTAATATCTATCTATCTATCCCATTCTGTTAATGTTGTAAGCTAGAAAAGGGTTACCCAGTGAGGAATAACCAAAAATGTCGTTGGAAATGAAAGGGTAATCTTTATAGCATCAAGAAAATACAATACACGCCAGCGGCGTGAAGTAGGTAAACCACTGCTAATGGTGGACTACTTAGACAGCAGATTACCCCAA